GCTATTAAAGGAAAATTAATAAGTAAACAGTGATTTAATTATTGCGAAGAATAAAACTAGATACCAAACAGTTTTTTTGCTCTACAGCCCAAATGGCTCATTCGCGGACATATGTTTATATAAACAAAAATGCTTGTTTTGATGTCCCCTACTACCCCTTAAAGTTTGTCGGTATCTTTTTGGGACACCCTGTATATGCAACTTGATACCAATATACAAAAATTCTTCAAGTTTATAATGACACTAAGAACTTAGGTAAATGTTTGAAGGCTCTAAGTTATATTCATAAGTTGCAATAATAATACTTTCCTCATTGCTTATTTGAAATCATTTTATAAATTAGGTTAATTGTTCCATGTATTCACTGGCGTAGCCAGGGGGGGGGGCAAGGAGGCATTTGCCCCCCCCCCCCCCCAAGACCCCTAAATTACATGAATAATTCTTCAAAATTAAAATAAACAGTCCCAAAAATAGCGTAAAGAAACCTAAAAAAGGGGCGTAGCACCCAAAAATTTCGCGCCTGCGGCGCTTTGCCTCCAGCGGTCGCAGTGGGGTCGCAGGAAACACTTCCTGCAAATTTGCCCCCCCCCCAAGACAAAATCCTGGCTACGCCACTGCATGTATTATTGTTATAGGTACCTGTTCAGGTAATCATTTAAATAAATATTTATTTTATTTAACTGTTTGGTTCGATTTCTCCACAGCATCTGCCTCAGCTAGGAGGTCGTTTTATGATGCGGGGCACTAATGCTCCGGTTCAAACCAGGTAAAAATAACACGGGCGCGAGTGGGTCGATCTTGACCCGGAGCGCAATTAGGCCTATTTCGCAGAAACGGTGTTTAGATCAATTTTTCAAAAAGAAAACAGAGAAAGCTGCAGAATTCTCTTTACTGAAAACAGTCTTCTAACAGCTTTTAATATTTACATTATTAAAGGCACAACCTCCAGAAAATCTGAAAATTGGAACTGATTATTATTCGTATATTTCAAAAAAGGTTAAATATAGTATTCTGAAAGTATGGCATGCCCTTCCCTTGCCTTTCGGGAGCAACCGCCACAGAGGATTAAACAAACACTCAAAATTTTCTTGAGCTCTAGAGCCTATTGTTTGGTGGAATTCTTTTCTGTTTCTTTGTCTATATTTGGTTGAGCCGTCTCTAACATATTTGGCTCTATTTTAAAAACCATCTCAGAGAGGTGCCTCAAATTTTACCTCCAGCTGTCACCTTGACAGGTAGAATGGTACACAAAATAGTCAGTAGGATAGTATTTTTACAATTTTTAGAGGTTCGCCTTCGCTAGAGTTTGCTCGACAGGCGGAACATCCAGGAAATTTGGGAAGCATTTGTTTGACCTATAGTGCTCTAGTGTGTGTTTGGCTTGGCAGAAAAATCAGTAGAGTTCATGGTGCAAACAATTTGAAAAAGCCAATAGCCTATTTCAGCTGTTAGATCACTCATTGAAGTTTGTTCCTATCCACCGACTTCTGCTATTGAACAAGGAAGTCAACCACCAGCGCTTTTTCCTTTCCTGCTAAACAAAATATAACCGCGAAAATAAACGAATAAATGTATATGAACGCATTATTTCTTTCATATGTGGACACAAAGCCAATTTTATAGCAAACGCCGAACAAATTCGGGAGAATTCATTCGAGCGAACTCCTTCACCTTCGTTCGCTGTATGAATACGCGCCTTAATGTGCTGCAACTCTGGATGTCGGGATCAACTGTGGAACAGAAAGTCTTACTTTCGTATATTTTGTTCAGCTTTAGCTTTAGTGTACGTTTTATGTTAATTAGTATGTATTCTGGAAAATTAAAAATTTTGTGTTTTTTTTTAAGTTCAATTTAAATGTATGTATTTCACTGTATTTATTTATTTTTAAAATTATTTTATTTTATTTAATTGACATGATCGACACCCTATGAGTAAAAAATGTATTTTTGATCGAATAAAGTGTCTTATCTTGTCTTGTCTATATAATTATTGTTATATCATCTCATACCTGAGCAATAATAAATTGATATATCATCAGCGATTAACGAATATAAATTACCCATTATTTGTAAAAGTTTCACTGAGGATGGAAAATCAATTGAAACTGTTTTTAGATTTTGGTCCAAGTGATCCAAAATTGCACATGTATTGCTATTAATTGACTTTAAAAATCGTTTTTTCTTCCATTTCGGTTATTATCGATTGCACAAGAGACATCAAAATTTAAGCCCGCATGCGTGAGCCTTAAAGATAGGAAAAAAAGCGGGATTATCTCGTTCTTTTCGTTTGGCATGCTGAAAAGATATATCGCAGGAGGCGTGAAATAGAATAGACGATTCGAGTGGCATTAGCGCATGCTCCAGCTTTCATCCAATCTGACGTTTAAGGAATTGCGAGTTTAGTGGGATATAAATAATATGAAATATGAATAATGCTTCAGATTTCTTTTGAAAGGAAAAGGAGAACGAACTTAAAAATAAAGAAACTCAGCGTAATATTTTTTTAACGAAAATTCCTATTTATGGGTTGTAGTTTGAGGTTTGGATTAGTTCATTAATTATACGGCCAGATGAAATATCATTAATATCAATCAAAAAATATGGCAGAATTTTTATATCGCTCCATGCATGAGCCCAGGCATAATTAATTAAAATAACCAAAGCAGAACTGAAGATAACGCATAGTCACTCTAGTCGATAAATAATAAATTATAAGTGGCTATATTTTGAGTTTGAGCTTATCTGATTGAGACCCAAGTCTGTTTACGTTAGACAACCACCAGGTGGCGCAATTTATAAGCAACGCCGGTAAAATTGCGGAAAGGCGCCAAGGCAGTAATCAATTGATTTCCGACTCGTTAAATTAATTAAGCTAGAGGGAAATTGGGGAGGCCTTAACTGGCTGGTCGGGTCATACACGTTTAATGAATGGCTTTGTTTTTTTTTTTTGGTGAAACGTTTTGCCACAGGCTTTCAATTTTAAATATGTTATACTGTTGTATATGTTAGATGTTATAACTTTAGTACAGAAAAGAGTAACTGGAACACATATAGGGTGTCAATTGGAAAACTTTCTCGAAAAAAACGTCCTTAAATTTGAGGGGAATTGAGTCTCTATGCAAAATTCAACTCTCCCCTTTCAAACCCCGTTGATATGACAGCTTGTCAAAATCTTGCAGAAAGTATTTGTTTTCAGTTTATAATTGAATAATCATGAAAGTTAGCGACTTCAAATCTGGTGGGTATGATTAGGGTTAGAACTAAGACCTTTCAAATGAGCTATGACTTAACCCTTCAGGCGGGAGTGTGTTTTGCCTTAAAAATATAAATTATGTACTCTGTAATCCTAATACCTACTATAAAAATTATATTTTATAGGTCTTCTGACCCTCATCATACCACCCTATCCATGTTCGAAGTTGCTACTCTTATGATCAATATTAATTAACTAAAAACAAGCATTTGCTACAACATTATGACAAGTACTCATATCAACGGGGGTAAGAGCAGAAATTTCAAATTTAGCAAATTAAATAAGTACCCGAATAATTTTAAAACTATATATCACTTGACTCATTTAGGATATTTTAGGTGGTGCTCCTAGGGTCTTGGGGGTTGAAAGAGAGAAGTTGAATTTTTCTAGTTGACGTGTTTCGGGGATTTTTTCTAAAATGTTTTAAAAAAAATTATTTCTGAGATAACAGATTCAAATTGACACCCTGTATACAGTGCACGCGAAAAAGTCTGCACCATGGAAAGTTTTTTCATTCATGTATTTTCGCAAAATCAGTTCTTGGCATTAGGTCCTACATGATCCGGAACAATAGAAATCCTGACATTTCTGATTTATGCCCTGTGTGGCGTCTATCAAATGTGAACTGGCAGAAGTAAATTTCTGAAGATACACAGTTTTTTTTTTATCAAATCATGTTTCTTAGGAATCACATTTTGAGTATGCGTCCTAATTTTGGTTCAAAATGTTTTGGTTTTTTTGTTACAAGTATTTTGAAATTTTTGCCAGATGACATTTTGTAACATTTTTCTGTTGTAAAATTAATGTATTCAAGTCCAATATTCCTTTAGTCTGCCTATACCTAATTATTGTAAATAAGCTAGCACAAAAAAATAGAAAAAAGTAATAAAATCAAAAATTTTAATTTTAGAACCAAAATTTGAATGTAGGCTCCTCTATGGTAGGCTCAAAATTGGATAAGAAATTAGATTTTTCCACCACTTTTGCCAGTTTGGATTTCTCAAGTGACATCTGACAGATGTTACACACGTCATAAGTCAAACATTTTAGGCTTTTGATTTGTTCTGGATCATCCAGAACCTAATGCTTATAACACAGATTCACGCAGAATAAATTTATTGCTTGGAAAAATTTTCCATATTATTTTTTTTCCTCTCTTTATATGTATATTATGTAAACATGAAAGCCCTGTCCTGTTACATGCAAAACTCAAAATAGGACCCTTTCTGGAATATTCTCGAATTGTGTCAACAACAAGATAATGCTGGACAGTAAAACTTTGAGTCAAACACTAACTCACCCCGTTGACTACCCGAAAAAGATTTAACCAGCCAACTGTTACCTTATCTATCTATATTCTCTTTAATAAAAATGGTGAAAATTTGGCGAATGCGAAGGTAACAAGTAATTTTTCGGGTAACTGTTATCATTTCCTAAACAAATGCAATCACCCGTCAATTTAATTTTTGCTGGGTATTTATTTTACACACATATTTTCTATTTGGTGAGTACATCACCCAACGTAGAGGGTTAAGGTCATCCCTTTTTCCATTTAAATTTTTTCTTGGGGTGGATCTGAAGTGGATTGACAGGAGTACTTAAGCTAATTTAGGACTGAAAACTTTCTTTTCCTTATATTATTTTTGCCTCTATCCGAAAATATTTTTTCAGCTCAGCAAATAAAATATTTTAAATTGACAAAGAGTGTTTCGAAGTAGGGTAGGGTAAATTAAAACACACAATAATTTTCATAAATTGTTGTATAATGAAAAATTTATACTTTTAAACAACCACGATACACAAACAATTGGACAGCAAAATGTCTATAACATAATAATTGTATTAAATGTAAAGTGCATTAGCTTGATATTACTCTTAATTTGTACGATTTTTTTGTGTGTATTAAACTTACTTTTTAATTTATAAAATAGAAAATTGAAATTCTTCTACATGTGGCGTAATTGGACGGCTAAAACAATTTTAATCGTGAAAACCGATATCAAAAATAATTTAAGAAATAGCAATTATTCTAAAATTATTAAACTACCTATAAAAGGCAAACGAAATAAATAATTTAGCGCATTGAACTAAAATTAAATTACGACCCTTTTTACATTAATTTATTGGGAAAATTTAATTATGGAACGTAATCGAAAATTAAATAGGGTTTAACGTATAGAAGAGCTTTTCTCTAATTGTATTTGAATGGTTTGATGTTTGATCTAATATTATTACATATAAAACTCCGTAAATGCTTATACTTTTTGCATTTCTCTACATGTTATCTAAAGAAGATTTGGTGGTTCTATTTCCTGTTTCAGCTCCCTGATTTCTTTTTTATACATTATTCATCTGTTCCATTTTTCATTTTTATCATTATAGCCTAGGCGCGGAACACATTATTGGGGTATAAATAGGCAATATGAATATAATATAGTGAAGATATGAGAAATATTTAGTTTTAGTAACCTTAAGTGTAAATTAATAATATTTCACCTTCCCCCAGTATATATTCTTTTTTCTGGTAAATTCTTTACGTCACTCACTATCTCTGAAAAGGTAAGGAATAATAGGCGAGTTAGGTTAATCCTCTGCGAGTTAAAAGATGACACTGTTGACAGAAGCTCCGGTGATCTTTCATTTGAAGTAATAGAACTGATCACGTCATCTTTTCGCTCGCGGAGGATTAACCGAACTCGCCTAATATTCCACACAACTGTTAGTTTTCATGTATTTATAGCTTATATTTAGTAGTTTTCTATTTTCAGCGCCACCTTTTAAGACGAGTACAATATAATGTAGGTGTATTTTCTTCGAGTGGCTTACTGTAGGCCAAATTCAATTTTTGAATATTGTTTTGAAAATAAACAGGTGGACCAAATAATTGTGATTCTACTCCTAATTTAAATTATTCTTCTCACCGAAGTGAAAGTGGAATAGTCATCATTCATTGTACTGGACGATGTCATAAAACTGATACACGGTCTAATTTTCTGCAACCACATATTGAGCCACAATCTTTGATAGAAAAAAGTAAGAAGAATAAGCATAAGGAATATGGAATCCCACATTTATTTTTGTATCTACATTTCATAGGATCTAATTCCTCAGCAATCAAAGCCTAGCCATGTTTGGGGATTATTATATAAATATAGATTCTTCACCTTCTGTCAACCAATTTCTTGATATATTGTCGAATTTATTTTTTTGTGAATGCATTACAGATTCCTGCAGTGAATGATTAAAATGAAGAAAGCGGGAGAAGAATTTTAATTATTCAGTAGACCTGCCCATTTTGAAAATATATTTAAGAATTTGTGGACTGGGCCTACAGGAAGTAAAAAAATGGGCTAGTATTCGACCTTGAAGGTTATATGCGAAAAATAGTATATTTACTGCCGCCATATAACTGCCTCGGGAGCCCGGCCGGATTCACGCAGACAATTCGGAGAATTCTACTCAAGTAGGGCGCCGGGTTTTTCTAATCCCGAGTACACCTTGTTTGCTATAAATAACGCGTAATAGTAGCTAAAGTAAGTCAGTTTTGATTCGATATTTGTCATGTACGTTTCAATGAGTGATAAGTGAATTTTATATAAAGTCAATTAGTAAATAAAATAAAAGTTGTTACTGTTTGTGAAATGAGCTTTAGTGAGTCCGTGACAATTCAGTGTCAGAAGTGCGATTAGTGCTAATTAGTAGGATCAGCAAGATTAATGATGCATTAATTGAACTGGATAGTGAAATAATTGGCAAGATAACTATTGGAATATTTTGAGCTAATTAGCGCGATTATTACCAAAACAATTGGTGTATTAATTTGAGCTAATAAGTGCGGGAACAATCACTGAACTTTTATTGAACTAAAATAGTGACTCTATATCCGGATTTTCTGGAAAATTCTATGAACTCCTGAAGAATGCTATTTGGAAACCGTGAGTGATGCCAGAATAGTGACTTCATCGCATTACTGATTTCAACATCCAAAACAAAAAAAAACAAGCCCACACAGTAATTTTTCTAAAACATTCCATTATGTTCTAGTTGGAAATTTGTCTTCGCCACAGAACTTTGGATTCAAAATCAAGTTTCAAGAAAGATACAGAATATTCTATGGTAATTACACGACAGCAAATGGACCAAGTTAATCAAATGTTGGCGGACTTTATGATGAATTGGGACGACGTAAGACAAGAAGAATACGACCGAAGACAGAAAGACTAGGACCGACTGGCAGCACTTTTACAACTATAACAACCCCAAAGACAGAATGAAAAATAAGAAGAACTGGACCGACTTGCAGCACTTTTGAAACAAAAAAAAAAAGATCGAAGACAGAAATAAAAACAAGAAAAAGAAGACCCAAGGCAGAAAGATAAACAAGAGGAGGAAGCCCGACAACAAGAAGAACAGGACCAGCTTCTGGAAAATTCAGCTAGAATGGATTCACACCGTAATCTACGAGGAACAAACTAAACTCGAGAAAATTCTGGAAGCGCAAGACAACAAATTCACGAATGCAATGGAAGCAATACGTGAAGAAGTTGAATTGTTTATCTGGAAGTTGGAACTGTTCGTCAGGAAGTTGGGAGTGTTCGTCACGACGTACTTCAGGAATTATTCGCCAAGAAATTGATAGTTTTGAGAAAAAAATCAAACAGTTGGAATGTAACTTGAGATCAGGAAATATCTCCTCCTCGCCTGTACCTGGTATTAAAGTTAAGCCACCACCCTACGACGGACAGGCATCATGGGCGATGTACAGACGTCAATTCGAGACTGTTGCAATGACTAATGATTGGAGCTCCGATTTCATGGCTACAGGTTTGATTGTAGCATTGCGTGGTCCTGCGTTAGACCTTTTAGAGATTCTTCCGCCAGCTTTCAACAAAACTATGGCGCGCTTGTCGATGCGTTAGAGCGTCGTTATGGAGATGAACACCGAAGGTAGCTTTATCGAGTACAACTAAGAACAAGGCAACAAAAAGCTGCGGAGAGCCTACAAGAATTTGAAACCGACATACGCCATCTGGTCAATTCGGCCTATCCGGGAGTAGCAATAGAAATGTGAGAAACAACAAATTTTATATTTAGAGATATGGATGCGTGCAGAGCATGCAGCTCATAACCAGACCATCAAATAGCTGCGAAGCTCTAATCAAAGCCCTAGAAATCGAGGCGGCCTATAAAATTTCCTAGGAGCTGTGTGGATTCGTGAAGAAAAAAAGCCAATGGCAGAAATTAACGGCACCATAATGAAGGAATTTCTGAAAGAATTACGGAAGGCTGTTATGAGAATCAAACTGGCAAACTTTAAAACGCTGCGCAGAAGAAGGGGACATTTTGAGCGTGATTATAGAGTACGTTTGAGATCTCGCTTTAGTTTTAATGATTCTCAGCCGTCAATGGGAAACTTGAACAAGAGGTCCGAATGTTACCGCTGCGGAAGAAAAGGATATTTTAAACATGATTGTAGAGTACGTGATCACGCTCTCCTTCTGATGACTGTCAACCTTCGATTGAGAAATTGCAACGCCGAGCATGCCCAGATTAAGACAAGAACTGCCTCAGAGTTCTTCAGCTAGCAGCTAGAAAGAGTTCCTGTTAGCAGCTTTCGATTGGATGCGGATGCAGAACGCAGTTCCGGACAGCTGGGAAGTGATCAACTGGAAGAGAGTGATTTCGACCTCGAATCATCTTTCTACATGAGGAGAGCCGCGGATAGATCAACGAAATCTAACGAAAAGATTGGTCGATCACGACTAATGCTGATCCAGAAGGTCAAAGTTCTCCTTCAAACGGCCGCTCTGCCGATTTCCATTAAGAGGAGTGCTACGAGTTTTGTGACCATCCTGAAAGCGCAGGTAATGCAGTTATCAGCATTGCAATCAACAGGGAACAGGACCAGTTAGCCATTCGTCTAGTATCCATACATGACGTCAATCCAAGGGAAGAAGAGCCACACATACATCAGAGTAGATCTGGGAAGTCAGGATGGCCGAGCGGTCTAAGGCGCTGCGTTCAGTTCGCAGCCCACTTAGACAGGCATAGAGATGTCAGGCAAAAGAAGAGATTAAATCATTAAGGATTTGAGTGGAAATATAGACGAAGAAAAGGTGGTGGTGCGTCTTGGTAGTGTCAGATCGGGACGATCTGATTTGAGAGTAAGGCAGTGTTACGAAATTGCCTCGGGAGCCCGGCTGGATTCTGAGAATGCAATTATCCCGAGTACACTGTCTGCTATAAATAACACGTACTAATAGTAGCTTAAGTAAGTTAGTTTTGATTCGATAGTTGTCGTGTACGTTTCAATAGGTGATTTTTATAAGTCAATTAGTAAATAATATAAAAGTTGTTACTGTTTGTGAAGTAAGTTTAAGTGAACCCGAAATACATGACATTATGTAGAAGCTAAAGCGGAAAAATCGTACAGAATTTTTTCAATAAAGAATTTTCGAATCTTCACGCTACTACGCCACCCTTTTTCCGTAAAATCCATAATTTCTGATAAATGTACTCACATGTAAACAAAACACATTGATTCTGATTCAGTCAATGACGTAGAAAAATTCAAACACGTTGGTATTTGCAGAAAGTAAAAAGTCTACCGCGTCTGGACTATTATGCATTAGGCAAAATCTGAGATTTTAAATAAGTATCGTCTATGCTGCCTACCAGTTGACTTTAAAAACTTTATAATTTATGAATCTCAACGCTATGTATTAAGAAAGCAAATACAAATAGTTTATTTTTATCCAAGAATACCCTAGAACATGGAAGACGGTTTTTTGGCTTTGAATGAAGTAAATAATGACTTCCTCATATATATTTTTTTTTATCGTTCTACGATAGTGTCTTTGGTTGTTTTGTTTTAGGAAACAAATAAATGAAAAAGCCATTTTATTGGTTTAATTATTTAGGTACCCTTTATATAATGACGTACACATAATATGTTATTTTCGATCGAATTTGCTGTTTTTCGTTTATGCGAACGAGATGGGAAATTAAATTCCATTGTAGAAACTTGGTATTTGAAAAAATAAAAATGTTATATAAGTAGGTATGTATTTGTTAAATATTACGCAAATTTGGAAAAAAAGCGCCAAGTGGGACTTTTTCGGCTATCGAAATAATATAACATAATACTTTTCTCTTCGATTTGTAATTACTTTAATTTGTTTTTTTGTTTTTCAGGTTCAAAAAAAAATATTTTTGTCATGTAGGTATTTATACAGCTGGAAATATCTTAAAACTTCAATCCTACAAAAACATTCAAAAATCCTAAACAAAATCTAACAACCGAGCCATATCCAAGCATCTTTTTCATCAAGGAAGAATATTTCTCTAAGCCGCCTAAGCCAGCCCTCTCTTACATTCTAATAGGAAAAGGGGGTCCAATGATAAGTTTTGAGATTATTTGGCTCTACCGTTTTCCGATGACAGCCTGCTAATACAACCATTTACAAAGGAGCTGGGAAATCCAATGAAAGTTTAAACTGTCCATTTTTTTTTTTAAATTTCCGATTAAAGCCAAAATGATAATTTGCATTCGAGCCAGCCGTAAATCGTTTCGATTTTACAACCCTCCAGAGTTTATATTAAGGCGGTATTTAGCAATTAAAGCCATTAAAGTTCGACTAAATTAAATGATCTCAAAATTAGCATAAAAGCTTAAGAGGGATTTCTTCGGCGACTTAGGCGATGGTTCGTTCTACTGGTATTAATATGATGACATAAATTTAACTTGATACGGAATTGGTCGAAAGAAAGCAAATAATTTATCGGATGGAGCCTAGAGAAACTTAAAAAGTGAATATCAACATTGAAACTAACATTTGGTATCCCTATAGGTCTGAGATGACACAATACTATCAATCAAGTTATCTCTTGTGTTTTATCATAACAAATTCGCCATTAGTGTAAATCTTTTGAGTTTTGTTTCTCATCTTGTTTGCAGATTAATTATATCATAAGATAGCCATTATACACTCTTCTAGCAGTTAATCTCAAACATGAAAAGATATTAGCTAGTTAAGTCTTGTAATCTGACATAATTTTGGATTTTATAAGCAACGCTCTGGTAAAAATTAGGAGTAATCTAGGTTCAATTCTATCCTACTTCAATATATTGGTAGCATCGCATTTGTTTTTCCAGTGTCTCATTGCATTTGATTTTTGTCTGTAATATCACCAATTCATATTCTACTTTTTATGTTGTATCTGTCTTTTAATACTGTAAACTTGATTGACAATTTGATATCTTCCAAGTTCTCTTCTTCCTTCTTCTAACCCAATTCCGTATTCAATACCCAGTATTATCAGTATCAAGGCTTTAAACAAAATAAAGCACAAACGAATTATTTTCCTAAAGTTTCGAAAAATTTGTGTTAATTTCGACAAGAAAACAAAAGCATATTTTTCTCGATAGTCCCAATGCTTAACTAACGGTGTACCAGTTTTCTTCACATTTTTGAGCTAATATTTTTCTTTAATAAAAAATATTTACAGTGTGCCCTGTCTGTTCCATTCCTATCAGCTCGAAGTTTGAAAAGAATCAAAATAACGTCGCGCCACGCTACAGATACTTTCAATCAGAACAAATACACTTCAACTCCCCCTCAAAAGTTCCTATTTAGAATGGGTTAGTAACACATAATAATAACACACATTGAAGGGTATAGGTACTTAGTTCTTTACCTCTTGGTGCGAACATTTTTAAATTAAAGTGATCCATTATGAATGGTATTCCCCTTTTAAATACTCAAAAAAGTTTTCGTCGTGGCTACAATTTTTTTTTCAGTCTAACATATTTATATACTCCTAGACAAAATTATCGCACCACTGCACATAAGCATCACATAAGCAGTGGTGCGATAGTTTTGTCCAAGAGTATATTTAGGCTTGACAATAATTTTGAAAATTTGGCTTATTTGCAAATATAACACAAATATTTTGTCATAAAATGACGGAAAACTTTAAATTTTTCAAATATTCTGACATTAGAAGCATCAAAATGCAGAAAATACCTATACTTCAAAACGATGTATCAGCCCCATTTTCAATTTAAATTTTTTAGTAGTGCTGCTACGGTGATATAGGTACGGGATTCATATAGGTGAGATATTTTTTGCGAAAAAATACATCCTTATCACTTGTTGTTGTCTTGTCGTGTTTTAGAGATCTATACATTTTTGCCCCATACCTACATGAAATAAGAAAATTATAAATCAATACCCTGTACGCAGTTTTTGGCGTGATTAGACAACACAATGAAACCAATAGTTCCAATGCTTAAATCAAAATGAAATTTCTCGAGATTATCAACTTTTTTTTTAAGTCAAGCGTTTAATATGATTAAATATAGTAGTATCACAATAAAATTTATTTCAATATACGAAAACATTGTAAAATACATACGTGGGACGTTAATCTATGACGTAATATTTTTGTTTGAGTTGAATCATTATTGCTAAGCTATAACCCAGTTTAATGGTAATTTTTTATATTTCAACCAGTATTACATACTCAGTCTTTTTTATGCCCGCTCTACCCTAAATTATTATAAATTCACAAATTATTATTTTCAATAATCGAATCACTCAGAATACGATGCTTTTATACTAATAATATTCTGATTAACATAATTTCTCAAATGCAATAATATATTTCCATATTATTACATTAATATTACCTTTAATTTTTTTACAGATATAGTCTTGGCGTTATCGAAAAATGGATATAAATACATTTAAAAAATAATTATTATTGATTTAGCCCATATTTTATATTATACTTATTTTACCCTACCTATTATAAAAATATTTAGACGTAAACAATATGCGGTCTGTCCTGCTGATCATCTAATTGCTTATAAATGTTTCCATTACCGTTGCAATGTTGTGAATATGAATCCCAGAGGGGCATAGATCTGTTTTGTAATAGAATAGGTGGAACTATAAACCTTTCAACGTGGTTTACGTCATTGTTGGGTAATGGTTTTCTAGGTGGAGGAAGTGGTGGGGCATTATATCCTCCTTTAACAATTTTCGGTAAATGTCTATCGCGACCGACATTTGATTTTTTCTTTGGCATAAAAATTAAAACTCCTATAATAATACCTAAAATAAATACAACGGTCAGCGTAACTGATAAGATAGCTAACCAGCTCATACTGCAGTCGATTTCTCGTTGACTTGCACTCACTAGTTTTTTATTATGAAGATTTGGAGGAGTTTCACATATTATATCATTGATATCTAGCTTCAATTCACTTGGCAGTTTTGAAGCTTTATCATCAACAACAGATTTACGATAGTGGCTAACATTGTCTCTAATTTGCAGTTTATTATCTTGAAGAATCTTCCATAGCCACAGCATAGAGCAGTTACAATCCAAAGGGTTCCCACCAACCTTGAGTTCTTCCATTTGATCCAAAGGAAAATGTGTGGCAGCTAATATTTTTATTGCATTATATCTAATAGATATGTACCGCAGTTTCGTATTCCCATGAAATAATCTAGTGGGAATATTATTCACGTTATAGTTATAGTCCAAACTAATTTTTTCTAAGTTAATATTATCCACAAATGCTCTTACATCAATAGCTGTTAATGATTCTAGCCGTGTAAGTTTAACATATTTTAAATTAAATAAGCCTCTGAATGAAACTGGTGGTAAATGAGTGAACGTGTTACCACTTAGTTTTAGATTGGCAAGTTTTGGTAATTTTGATAATTGTGTAGTAGGTAATGATGTTAAATTATTGTCACTCAAATCCAAATAGTTAAGTTTGGGCATAGAAGTAAATGCCATAGGGTGAATTTCTTTTAACAAGTTTTGATCTAGCAACAACGTTTGTAGTTCTAGTAAGCTTGGCATTTCGTCATCTTTTATCACTTCAATTAAATTTCTGGATATCGATAATATCTTAAGATGTGTCAAATCTGACAACTCGCTAGGTATTTCCAAAAACGAATTATCATCTATGTATAATGCTTGAATATTTGGTGTTCCTTTGAATGTTCCTTCTTCGAGGAAATCCAGTTGGTTATCATTTATTCTCAAAACAATTAAATTACGTAAATCCTTGAAAGCACTAGGTCCTATAGTTTCTAGTTGGTTTCTACTTAAATCCAGTTCTGTGAGTTGAACGAGCCCTTCAAACGCATCCTTTCCCAAAAATTCGATATAGTTGCTGCTTAAATTTAAAAATTTAAGTAACTTCTGAGTTTTAAAATTACCGTTCCCAATATCCTTCACTTTATTTCGCGACACATCCAACGTATATAGATTTTCGTAAAAAGTAAAGGTATAATGGAGTTGTAAAATCTTGTTGTCAGATAAATCCATCACGTGAAGCTCTGGATTGAGTTGGATAGGCACCACTTGGATTCCGGCTCCGGAGCAGTTGGCCCTAAGTATCTCATTTTGACATTTGCACCCATTAGGACAGAGTACTCCGCCAACTGAACAAATAAGTGATAGTTGACATATCAGGACAAATAGAATTATCCACATTGGGGGTGCCCTTCCATCATCCATGGCAAGTGGGCTGCATTTTCACTTAGTTCTGAAACAAAATAACAAATATAGAGTCAAACCTAAATTGTGTTAAAATATAATAAGAGGTTGAACTACACAATCAAAATTAGGTATATGATGGAATCACTCAATTTGTAATATTGGCCTTTTATTCAATTTTTTTTGTAATCAAATTAGGTTCATGGATTTTCAATTATTTTTCCAATGAAAATGATTTAAAGAAACTGTATTTTGCTTCCCAGCAACTAATTTTTCAGTAAAAAATTCTTTAGCGGAAATATTCGGTGATTCTTAGAAAATACATGCCGAAAATATCTGATCCTTTTCAGGTAATTTGTACTGATAATTGCCCGGTAGCTATATTGCTGGAGTACATCAAACAATAACTATGTTTATTATTGATATAACTAATAATTCCTATTTTGGGAAATATTAGACCAAATATATACAGGGTGACTGGTAAGTAAACGTTTTCCTTTAAAGAGGTAAAAGTAGAGCCTATTTGCTACCGATTGAACATTATTTACCTCTGTAGCATTCTCAACGGTTTCTGAGATATTTATTCTTTTTCAATTTCCAAGAAATTCACTTCTTTGCGAGGTAAATATTTGAAATTAGGGAAAATAATAAGAGCCTCTTTAAATATCGATTTTTAACTTATGAGCTGACACAGTTACACAAATATCAGCATTGAAAATTATTGAAGCAATGCGGTTAACTAACCAATTATTTTGGTTTAAACTTAACTTTTCTTGTCAAGTTACAAACTAATGGTTACTTTATGCTTAAAAATTTCGAAAATTTCATAGTATATCAAACGTACAAATCTATATATATAAAACATAGTTGTGTTTTGTGGAAGCACTTATAACTCGAGAACGGCTGGACTGATTTTTATGATTTTTGCTTTATTGGATTTGTCTTTGTCTATCCTAACATAATAAATCGAAACAATCCAAAAAAAAAAACAAAACAAAAAAATTACCTTTTTTACTTATTTATGAAAAAAAATTAATAAGCCCGCATACGGCGTCATCTCTTATAACCGATACCAAGTTTACCGTCACATTTTCATTGCAAACCATGTGGATTTTATTGTCACACACTTTGCACAAAAACAATTTAAGGAAAGCACTTTACTTTCAATTGTTCTGTCTCGAAAGAGCGCGAACTGGTCTTCCTGTCATTTCTTAACGCTTGACCATTGACGTTCTGTGGCTAAGTTCGTTTCTCCTCTCAGGCATCCCTTGACAGCCGTGTTCCGTGCCGACTGTTCGGAGTGCTCCGTCCGGCTGGTGTCGAGTGGCAGAGAGCCAGGTTATGAGTCCGCCACAACCATTTTGTATACGGCGCCATATATGATACCTAGAACGAAGCTCACCGATGCGCGGTAATTTCATTGCAGATGCAGTAAAACCATGCTGCTCAGGAACTGGAGATATTTAGAACAGAACTATTCCACTATTCTGATCAGATAGAGTGGTGCAGAAAGAGTAGATCAGATAGAATAGTGCAGATAGAGTAGAACAGATGGATTAGTGCAGTGCAGATAGAGTGATACAGGGCTGCGCTGCAGATTTTTTTCTGTTTTCTTTACATTCTTTGAACATTCCTGTGCCTGAGTTTATTTATTTGGTGGTACACTTTACAAGAAAAATGCCCACAAGCTGCCTTGAAAGGGATGATGTAAAATTTTAATTTTAGGTGAATTCTGATCTAGAGAGTAAACATTAATATTCTTCAACCAAAGCCAAATTCACCATCGAAAAAAACTGAATTTAATTCAGCTAATAGATACGTTAACACAACATTTAATAGGTATTTAATAATTCAGAGGCGGTACGAAGTTCGCCGGGTCAGCTAGTTATTAATAAAAGTTCTCGATTTTATTGTCTTCAGAATAAGGCACATTATTTCATAATTTGTTTCATTATTAAATAAATAAGTTGTTTTTGTGAGAGTAACCAATATTAAGAAAAAAATATCATAACAAAAACATTTCATGTAAAAAAATGGCCAAGACGCGAAAATACTTATCCCCAAAAAGAAGTGAAATCAAAGTCAAGCCAAGTTCTTCAATATGCATTTGAAAATAAAATAGTGGCTTTATTTATTCTAAAATGTTTCAAACTTGGCGAGTACCTACCAACAGTCAAAATACCTATTGAAAGGGTTATTGTAAATTGGGTTTAAATTTAGCTGTATTGCCATTTTCGTGTATTTGGCCATTGTTTTACATGAGATGTTTTTGTTATTGTCGCGGCTTTGTGTTGCCTGCTGACAGAAATCCTGGGTTCGTCGTTCGTTTCGTTTATTCCAAAAATCAAAGTCCAATTAACACAGCAATAATTTATTCCACTTAACAATACACTCTGACACTAATTACTTTAATAACTAACTCAACAATTAAACTTTACAACTCAATAATCATTATTTAACTCGTATCACAGTCAAAATTTAACTTAACTTGCAAGCTAAAACCCGTCCTTATATATATCCCTAAATCTATTCCTGTAAAATCTAGAACACACACGATAATGTTATTTCTCGATTATAGTAGAATAATTCGCTAGATTCGAGTATTTTCACCGTCGATTTTTGACAGTCTGGCGGACGATATCGTGACACTGCCCTCCTCTTAAGGTTGATCGTCCCGATCAACTTCACGTCCATGATATTTCGCCAATCTGTCCAGATGTACAACTTTCATCTTACTCCTGGTGTTGTGCTGGACTCGATAAACCAAATCATTGATCCTCTTGATTATTCTATAGGGTCCTTCCCATGCTGAAGACAATTTCGGCGATACTCCTTTCTTCCTTGCTGGGTTATACAACCACACTAAATCACCTTCTTGAAATCCGACCGAATTGGCTTTCAAGTCGTATCTGGTCTTCATTCGGTCACTGGCTAGTTGAATATGCTCCCGAGCAAAATCATGGATACCCAGAAGTCGTGCCCTTACTTCGTCGGCATAATCTCGGATTTCTCTTCGTTCTTCTTCGGGTACTCCAAACATCAGATCGCAAGGTAACCTGAGTTCCCTTCCAAAAACAATTCTAGCCGGACTTTCACCTGTTGAATCATGAACAGCCGCTCTGTAAGCCATTAAAAATAGAGGCAAATGCTTGTCCCAATCTCGTTGGTTCTTTGCGACCACTTTTGTCAGGTGTTCCTCTATGGTCTTATTGAATCGTTCCACCATGCCATCAGATTGAGGGTGTAAAGGTGTTGTCCTTGTCTTACGAATGCTCATGATCTCACAAACTTTCTTAAAGATGGCAGATTCGAAGTTTCGTCCCTGGTCTGAATGTAACTCTAGTGGCACACCATGACGACTAAAAACTTCGTCCACTAGCACCTGGGCAACAGTGATGGCTTCTTGATTGGGAATAGCGAAAACTTCTGGCCATTTACTGAAGTAATCCATGATAACTAAGATGTATTTGTTACCACGCTCTGACTCTGGGAACGGTCCAGCAACATCTATCGCTATTCTTTCAAATGGGAGACCAACGTTGTACTGTTTCATGGGCCCCCGAGATCTTAGTTTAGGGCCTTTACTGGTAGCACAGATGTCGCATTTTCGGCACCAGCTTTTAACGTCTTCATGGTAGTGAACCCAGTAAAAACGTTCCCGAATTTTGTCCAAAGTCTTGTTAACTCCGAAATGTGCCCCTGCGGTTCCGTCGTGTATTTCTTTTAATACATCTTCCACTCGGTCTTTTGGAATAACCAGTTGGCTCTTAGTGGATTTCCCATCGGCACTTTCCCAAACTCTTTTGAGCAAACCATTTTCTACGGCCAGAGAGTTCCACTGGGCCCACAACGCCTTGTAAATCAAGCTTTTGTTTGACACTTCCCCCCATTCTGGCCTACATTCATCATTTTCTTTAAGATGCAGAATTTGCCCAATGTCTTGGTCTGCCTCCTGATCTTCTCTCATTTGTTTGGTAGTCCATTTGTCATCGACGATCAGGCCCGTTCTTCTTACAGCTAGACTAGTGTTTTTCTCATGTATATCGATTCTTTGACAATGTTTGCAATCTTCTTTACATGGCCGTCTAGACAGAGCGTCAGCATTTTTATGCAGGTTTCCAGGTCGATGTTTAATTTGGAAATCGTATTGCTGCAATTTCTCAATCCATCTAGCAAGCTGTCCTTCAGGAGTTTTCATTTCTAAAAGCCATTTTAGAGCTGCGTGATCTGTTCGAATTAGAAACTTGCGTCCGTAGAGATACTTATGAAAATGGTCGACTGCTTTTACTATGGCAAGCAACTCTCTTCTGGTGACACAATAATTTCGTTCCGGCTTTGATAATGTTCTGCTGTAGTACTCCACGACATGTTCTTGTGAATTTTGGATTTGTGAAAGGACAGCTCCAACACTGGTGTTACTTGCATCTGTGTCCAAAATCAACATGCCTTTGTGATCAGGATAGGACAACACTGGGCTTGTACATAATGCTCCTTTCAATTTTCTAAATGCGGAATCGCATTCTTGGGTCCAATTGAATGTTGATTTTTCTTCTGTTAATCGATGAAGTGGAGCAGCTATATTGGCGAATCCTTCCACAAATCTTCGATAATAAGAACATAATCCTAGAAAACTCCTTAGTTCATGTTTGTCGCGTGATTTTGGCCAGTCCCTGACAGCATCTATTTTTCCTTCCATAACTTGTATGCCCTCTTCAGATACCACGTGACCTAAAAATTCCACTTTCTTTTGAAATAGGAAACACTTATTTGGATTGAGTTTCAAGTTGGCATTCCGGAAGCGGTCAAAAACTTCTTTCAGGTTATTAAGATGTTCTTGGAACGAATTTCCCATAATCATGACATCATCCAAATATACCAGGCAAGTTCTCCATGTAAGGCCTCGCAAAACAAGATGCATCAGTCGCTCAAACGTAGCTGGAGCATTACACAATCCGAAAGGCATTACATTAAACTGGTATAGCCCGCTTCCGGTACTGAAGGCAGTTTTCTCTTTGTCATCGTCATGTATTGCCACTTGCCAGTATCCAC